GGAATATTTGTGCTCGGGGTGGGTTTTTTTTTTCTTCAGACAAATTTCGACTTTTTAACAAGCCTTTTTTGACGGACTTTTTTTATATCATTCAAAAGGTTTTGTTGTCCTGAGCTTAAATTTGAAAAGATATTTCACCTGTCATCATTTTTCGTAAAGTTATGGGGGTTCAAAGATTGCCATTTTGGCCAATTTGGGACAATTAACGCGCGATATATTTCGCGCTATTAACGCTATTAACGCGTAAGCGAGATTTAATCCGTCTTTGAAATCGTTCCAAATTGGTTCAAGGAAGCTTCTATGCCATAATTGAGTTGTTAATAGGAGCAAAATTTATCACTTAGTACTTATTATGACGCGTGGGGGGATGATTTTCTTTAAAAAATTTCAACTTTTAGAAAAAACATTTTCATTTTATTTTATTATATTTAATTTTTTTGTTATACTGCTCCATAAAACTTAAAAGGCAGTCGGACCATTCAGGGCTTCGCTCTGATACGAGCAGTCTTGTTTCTTTTTTGCAATCGTTTACTTTTCGAACCACAAGGCCCACTAAAAACGACACTAATTTGAAGAAACATTTTTTTCTTTTTTCTAAGACTATGGTCGGAACATTCTGTGTTACTTGCACAGTAAACAACTATCCTTGTTTAAACTTAAAATTCAGTGCGCGAATCGAATCTCTACAGTATGATTCTCAATGCACAGAACAGATAAAAAAACTGGTTTTGGGTTCGAAAATTTACTCATTCTGAAAAACTAAAGTTATACTTTTTTCTGCAACATGGATTTGCAGCAATGCCAGAAACAGAAAAAAAAAACAAAAAAAGAAGCAGTGCAAACCGCCCTATTCCGTTTTTGATATCATGTTGCCGAAGAAATTAATTTTTAACTTTAAAAAATAGATAAGTTTTCGAGCCGAAAAAAATTCTCTTTGTTCATCTTTTACAAGTAAAGTCGTCCCGTAAAAATCGATTGTATCCCAATTTTCCCAAATCCAAATAGTTTTTTAAAACAAATTACAAAAAAATTAAAACGGTCACTTTCAATTCGGAAAACGTTGTCGTTAAAAATTTTAAAAGATAAAACTTTTTTCAAATTTTAAAATTTAAAGTACCAACGAAATTTTTTTGTATCTGATAAAAACAAAAACGATTATGTTAAGAACCAAACGGTCGCCTCAGATCAGTTTGCGTTGATTTATTTTGCCGTTTACACTATAACAGGACTTTGTAAACTTGAAAAAGAAAGAAACGCAACCAAACATTGCGTTATTTTTTCAGTTTTCCTAAGAAAACTTTGATCATGGAATGTGAAAACAACATGTTTAACCCTTGAAATTTTACCGAATATGAAACAAATTTGAAATTGATCAACCTGCTGACTTTAGTGAGTAAATGAAACTTTTACTGAAGTTTGTCATCATTGAGTTTTGAGATCAGCAGCTCCTACCCGCGTAAGAAAATAAAAAATTGAGGAACGAAATTTTTAACGATAACATTGAGTTTTAGAGTTTCAAGGGGTGAGAACCGTTTATGGGATTCATATGCTCGTTTTCTTGATAATAAATCGTAAGCCTTGGGCTAAAACTCAGCAGAGGTGAAAGCTAAGATGATAAGTATCTCACTTTAAAATGACAAGCCAGATTTTGTTTCGATCTTTTTTGTTTACTTTATCTAGTTGCGGTACTTCAATGCTCTGGTTTGTTTTGCGCGTTAATTTCATCACTCGGCATTTTTCGAAACTTCACAGTTTAAAAAACAATAATTTTAGGTGAAATAATTTTTGATAGTATGAGCTCAGCACTTAACTTGTTTTCAAAATTTCATACACGAAAAATCTATTTTTGTCAGACGAAAAAACCACACTCAGCACAATTAGTTTACCATGTTCTTCAACCACACATGTTCTTCAGCTATGATTTGAAATTAATCATCAAAGTTTGCCAACTTTTTCTGGCTACTGGATCCTTTTTTCAAGTAATATTGAAATCAAAAACGCTTTAAAACATACCCTGTCTGTAATTTTGGTACTCATTTAAAAATATAACCCCTTTAAAACCTTGTTTACATATTTTGGTCCCGTAAAATTGCTAATGATCCTTTATAAGAGTCCGACAAAAAGTTTTTAAAAATAACTTTCTAAGTTTTGCCACTGAATTTGTATTTTTGATAACTGCATTTTAAAGGGAATTTTAGTAGCAAATCTAACTAAGAAAAGTTTAGAAGTTTTCCGTTTGTTTTCAACCACTTGAAAAATATTTTAGGTGGTCTGGCAGGACCACACTTCTAAATGAGCTTTTTGAATGGGACTCATCAAAAATGGCGGGTCGACCTATTCTTTTTTATAGGTCGACCAAATTCATTTTCGGAGCTCTCCCAAATCACTATAAAGACCTCATTTTGACCATTTTTTCCGCGCCGCAGGCATATTTTTGAAAAAAAACAGGCCAAAAAAGGCGTTTTTAGGCACCTTTTTTTGGCTCCAAGTCTAATTTTTTGGGATCATAGGGGCGAGGTTTGTAACCGGACCATACTTCTATATCATTACCCAGCAGTCAATTTGAGCTAAATTTTAAAGTTCGTTGTCTATATATTCAGAAATAATCAACTGTCATCTTACTTGTGTTTTTGAAGGCAGCCTCGGCTGTGGATAAATAGTCCTCCTTTTCGTTCTTTTCTGATTGTTCCCTTCCGACTTATCATCGCTCTGTCTTCTCGTCTCTCGCATACTTTGCATTGCCGAAACGTCCCTTCCACGAGGTTGCTTAACCTGCACTTTTGTGTCATCAGGCTTGCCTGCTGAAGTTTTTCTTTGTGACATTTTTTTCAAGTTCGAACGTTTCACTCAAACTTATTCACATTTCCGGCTAACAATTTAGATGTGAAATAATAAACGTTCACTCGTTTTTCACGCGTAAAAATTAAAAACTTTAAATGTTTAAAAAATTTATTCAAGCTGGTAGAAAATCTAACTTTTTATTTAGACTTTTTTTAAATAGAAAGGGTTTCATCATTTATGCGTACGCTTGGTGCGTTTAGATAGCTGTATATGATCTACGAAATACATGTAAACTTTTCGCTCCGACCAATGAAAATCGAAAATCGAAAAATGAATATTCGAGACTAATTTTTAGACTACTTTTAAAGTCGGTTCGATGTTGATACCACAACCGAAAACTCCTTGTTTTTTTTCGCTGTAGGCTTCAAGCAGAAAACCGAGGTTCAAATTAGCAGAATGTGAAATTTTGCAAACTCACAGTAGCCCGATGGTGAGCGCACATCGTACGTGCGGTGCTCTTCGCTGAAAACCGCCTGGCAATACGTATCATCCCGACCTCATTTTCTGCTGCCTTTTTGGCCAATCATGAATGTTGCCCGGGATACCTATCCATAAAATGTTGCCCGGGATACCTATCCATGGAAGTCCACCCCTGGAGTGATACCTAGAGCCAGAAGGCCTGGCCAGGAGAAAAACCATGTCAAATTATCGCAAGGATTGCCTTGGACGTACTCGATCTGTCTAAGAGATCGGGCTGGTTTTCATAGATTTTTGCCAGGTTTTTTGACGGAAAGTACATTGGCTAATGCCATCAAACCTGCTTTAAGTAGCTAAAAGCTTCTCGAGCTCTACTCAAAAAAGGCGAACTACCAAAGAGCTAATTAAATAAAAAATGAAAAACAACTTAAACCAAAAACTTGAAAACAGAACAAAACCTTAGAAAATATCTAAAAACATCAAATATCAAAAAATATTTAAAAAACGCAGAAGCGCAACCTAATTATTTAGTCAGACATTTGAATAATATGTATAAGACAGAGGCGAAGTGGAGTAGTTTCCCTGAATTTCCTGGAAAAGTTCCTCACAAGTGTCCCGGCCAGGCTTTCAAGGTTTTTTATTTCTAACTAAACCTCCCAGATGCCCCAAATTTATTTTTCGATGATTTATTATGAGAATCGTAGATTGAGAATACATTTTTTAACACAACTTTTATTAAATCTTAGAGTTCCTGGCAGCGTTCGTGCCTTGTTCCTACCGGGAAGCCCATGATTGCAATCGACTCCTTATGTTCCTGGCAGGAAGGCCAAAGTTTTTCCCTGGCTGTGTAACGTGGGTGATGCCTTGATTTACTGTACTTTTCTTGAGATATTCACTATTTCTTCTAGATTTCAGAATAGTCAATTCTGATGACTGACTGATATTATTTTTCCATCATACGGTCCGTCCCTCCACCATCATGAAACTTTTTCAAACAATTCTACAAAATGTGATTAGTTTCAGTGCATTAATGAATTTCACATGATATTCAAATTTCTTTTAATAAAAAAGCAATTTAAAAGTTGGAGATTAGATGCGATAGTCTAAAAATTAGAACCGACATTGTCAATAAGTTAGCTGTGAACCAATGATGCTCCATTAAGGAAATGTCGGTGTTACTCACCACTGCTTTTCCTTACCTCTGTTTCGATCTTTGCGCAGAATAAAACAGCGCAAGTTTAGGGTAAAAAAATATGTACATTATTTAGGCGACGATTATTTTTTACAGTGAGATTATTCCGGCAAGATCATCATAACCTTCAGATCTTTATCGAGTTTTAAAAAACAAACGCGTAATCTAATCAAAATGAGATCTGACATTTTAATTGGAAGTAAAAGTTCCGCTTCTTTTGATATCTTTTTTGTCACCTTTTTAGTTACATTATGGCCTTGGTTGACAAGGCACATTTTTCTTGGCATTTGCAGGCTTTTATCCATAGTTAATTGACGGAAAGAAAAAAAGATATTTTTGCACCACATCTAGGTAAGAAGAATGGAAGGAACATAGTAAAAAAGTTCTAAGTATCAAAGGGAGAAAAGAAGCCGCCATTAATGACAAATACTGTTTTAGGGGGATTATTTAATGATTTTTTTTCATGCTCTGGGCTTCCAAGTATTTCTAACAGGTAAAAAGTAATTTCATATTTAATTAATCAAACATGAACTATAATATATTGCACACAGTTTTGAGTGGGATTGAAAATGTACGTAGATAGCTAAACATTTAATTTGCACTGAAATATTAGTTCAAAATGATTTCGACAAGAAAAATTATTGAAAATTATTTACTGCCATTTTTCTTGTACTATTTTAAGATGTTAAAGCCGGTGAATTGATTAGCATCATGCAAAAACTTCATTTATTAAATCATAGCAAAAATTTTGAAGTTTCAAACCAGCCTAAAACAAAAAATTGGTTCTAAAAATCAATCTTGAATAAAATTTATTGCTAAGTTTTATTAAATTCAAGTTTTTTGAAAATATAGATAAAATTAATTCTTTTACTTCAATTTTGACTATAATTTTTTTTTAGAATTTAAGTAAGTTCCACGACTAAGCGCATTTTAATGAAATAACCTTTCGCTCTTCTCTAGTCTGGTTCACGCAATTTCATTAACAAGTTTTTAGTGTTTGTTGCGTAATACAACTATTTTTCCAAATGATGACGCAATATGCGTCGTGCCATTATTCAGTGACTGGCTCCGCCGCTTGGGTCGCACTGGAGCAGTCGCACAATGGACGGGTCACTTTTGGCGCCCTCAATGAACTCTTCCAGAGACAGTTTTCCATCCAGGTTTTTGTCCATCTGTTTGAATATCTTGTCAGTTCTTTTCTGGGGAGTGGCCTCGTCTTCTGGCATCTTCATCACTGATCCTACCATCTTATAGATGGCCTAAGCAAAAAATAGAATTATAAACACTCGTTCGTTCCGCTTGCACTTCAAAGTTGTTTGAAAACTCCCTCCCGACGCGGTCGCATAAAATTATCATATAACAACTTCCTAAGGCAGTCAAAAATATACGCCTAATTGATTCCACGCAGCTCAAGTTTCTTGTTAATCCCATGGGGATCACAAGAAGCGTGACCTGTGTGAATTCATTCAGGCATTTAACTTTTTTGATTGCCGCAGGAAATTGATAAATAATCAAATTTTGCGAGCGCACCGTTTTCAAACAACTTTGTGGATCTTCAGTGCTCTCTTAAAAAATCAAAAAAAAACCGTCATGTCATAAATTTTGAGTCTCGGGACTATTGAGAAAAAACGGAAACGCCATATTTGAGCTTGAAAGATCAAATATGGCCGTGTTAAAATATCGAGTATTTTGGCAATCACTGCCCAAAAGTGCTGACTTACAGAGACTATCTCTAGCATTTCCTGGTGAGATATATATCCATTGCCATCTAGGTCATACATGTTGAATGCCCACCTCAACTTCTGGTCCAGCTGACCTCTAGAGGTCACACTCAGTGCACAGATGAATTCGCGGAAATCTATGCTTCCTAAAATAAAGTGAAACATTGTGTAAGACGGAAGCTGCCGATTTAGAAAAAATTAATGAAAAACTTCTATGAGCTCTTAGGAAGAAATTAAGACATCAAAAAAATTGTTTGAAAATTGTTTCTTTTCTTGTAAATGAATGGTGTGAGAGAAGTAAAATCTTTTGGAGAAACGATCCGCGTTTATTGTTGCGAGTACTCTAGTGGGAAGAAACTATGGAATAGTTTGTATTTATTCCGGCAATATCAAACAACTCAAACAACGCTCATATGGCATCAAGTGAGATTTCATTCCTAAGTCGACTCAGTCGTATCTGAGATTACAAAAAAATTTTTGAAAAATTTATCTTATTATCGAGAAAAAACTATATATGATTTCAACCGCGGTATGAAAATTATGATTTGTCCTACAAATTAGTGGATTTGCATAGAAAAATCAATCTTCAATGTTCCTTATGTAGAACTCTTCTTAATAAAACCAGGGTTGCATGATTAAAATCAACATGATTTAAATCGGATTTTAATCGTAGAAAAAAATCAAAAAAAATCAACCCTTATGTTATCCTACCGAGTACCCATACAACACAGCTTGCAGTTTTTACATTGATTGCGTACTTCGCTCTTCATAGCATACTTTTAACTGAAAAAGTTTTTCAGCATTTTCTGATTTATCCATTCCAGTCTTTTATTTTTTTTCGGAATTGGCTTCAATCTACAGCTGCTACCGAACAAAAACGCAAAAATGTTGAAAAGAAAGTTGATCTAAAAAATGTGCTGTTTTGAAATCGACATTGAGAAAAATTTTACAACATTTCCCTTCGCTGATACGCGGTACCGTCTGTGAAACAATTGATGAGTAGGGTTTTTAGTTCGAGAACGGTTCATCTGTTAGTCCATTTTTTTTAGTTTTTCCCCATGTTTTTATGCAAAAATAAAACCATTGAAAGGTAAATAGCTATGACCATTCTTGGAGAAAGAAAATTATCTGATCTCTGGCGTTAGCGTGGGCTTTTTTATATTAATTTCAAGTAATTTGAAGTTTGCAACCCTGGTTCATGGTACGTTAAATCAAGTGGAAAAACAACGATGAGGATTCAAATCGGAAATAAATCAAGAAAAATGAATAAGTTAATTCCATATTGAAACAGTTTATTCTTGCATTTCGGCACTAGCTGAATTGGAACACCTTTTAAGTGCCTTTTTATGCAGTCAAACCTGAAAACCGGCTTGAAATTTTAAAAAAATGCCGAAAAAAATTTGTTTTTTTTTGTGTCCTAATTCAAATATTTAAGTTTTGCTATCACATTTGGTCGATTTTTGAAACAAACAATTCAATATTTTGGATAGAAGTACAAAAAAAAGCTTCAATCAAGTGGGATTTTTAAAATCCTATGCAAATCAAATATTCAGTAAATCATTTTTTTTTGTAACCGTGCGTTGAAGATGAAAACATTTTGTTCTCAGTCTCAGACTAATTGGCAGTAGGTCGATCCTGTAAACCATCAGTAGCCTATGACCACCCAAATCACACCGAACCCAAAAAAAAACAGCGGACGCCCTTTTTTCAGGGATTCGACCCCCTGTCGACCCAAAGGGTCCCCCCTTTGTACTATTTTGGGATATCCATTTTTGGCTAACGGGCCCAAAAATTGGCAGACGCCCTTTTTTCAGGGATTAGACCCCCTGTCAACCCAAAGGCTCCCCCCTTTGTACTATTTTGGGATATCCAATTTTGGTTAACGGGCCCAAAAACTGATCTAAAGCCGCCTTTGGCGCCAAAATATAACTAATTTTGAGGGGGAAGCACGTGCCGTAAAAATGCATTTTTTGGTCAACATTTTCCAAAAAATGCTTAAAAACGCCATTTTTGGCCTTTTTTCAAAAACATTGTCTTTTTAATGCTTTGGGAGAGCTCGGAAAATCTTTTTGGCCGACCTAAAAATATAAAAAAAGGTCGACAAATTTTTGACAACTGTTTTGAAAATCTCCGCCTCGAGAAAATACTAGATCCCCCCTGAACCTGGTACAGTTGAGTTTTTGAAAACTGTTAATAGAAATTATAAGAGTTTTCTTGGTAGTCCAACCTTTTTTTGAAAAGTAATCCCCATTTTGCAAAAAAAACCTAGCTCTCCAACAATCATTAATGATCATATGCTAGTATTCTTCAAAAAACTGTCGCGACATATCTACCTTTTATATCGTCATAATCATCGTCATTGGTATTATTCTGACCTTTTTGTCCTTTTTTGAGCAACAAGTTGTTTGTTTGAAAAATAGCGATCACAAAGCACAAATTTCAGAATTACCGTCATTGTTGACGTCGAATGTCCTGAACACGTGCTCTGCAAACTTAGTGGCGTCTCCGTACGGGAAGAAGTTAGCGTAGATCTTCTTGAACTCGTCCACAGTTAGTTGACCCGAAGGACAGTCCTTCCTGAATCCTTTGTACCACTCCCGGATCTCCTCCTCCGAAAAAGCAGTCTGATGCTGGAAATCAGCCAGCTCCTCTGGCTTCAGTTTCGAGTTGCCTTTGCCCATTATGTCAATAATCTCTGGATACTTTTAATTTTTAATAGTTAGTTGCCTCTGTGATGTTGTAGATTATAACTGTTTCATAAAGCACTGACAACACTAAAAATAAGATTTATGACAATTCAAGAACTTGGAAGATGGCTCGAAAATGATTTAATAGTTGCTTGTTTCGAAACAAGACATTAATCGTAATTGTTTTTGTCAGTTCTGTGTAAATTTATAAAATATCGTTTCATAGCATGCTGTCAGTTTTTGCATTATGTCTTTTGTTATCATTCGATAGAGTTCCGAACCTTCACATAAATCAGGAACCTGATTAAATGTTTTAGTAGCTAATTTACAAACTTACTCTTGCTTGTGTCCTGTACCTACTTGGCTCTTTTGATTTCGAAGCGTAGATATTCAAATTTATTCGACGTCCTATTTTTTTGCCATAAATTTTAAATTAAAAAAATGCGTCATTTTCAATATATTTCAACAACGGTGCGAGCCTCAACTTTCTTATTAAAATCAAAAATTGGGCCTCAAAAATCGTTATCAGTTTCATAATTCGGTAGCAATGAAGTTAAATAAATGTATTTTTTTTTTTGGCTCTCCACATGTATCAGACTGAAATATTTTGATGAGCGAAGCTCTTTTTGCAACTCAGGGCAGTTTTTTTGTCCAGAACTTTCACGTGGTACCACTTTTCCAGCCGAAATTTTTCAGGATGTGGCTTTCATGAAGCTTGAAGTCATGTGGTAGCCCAATCTCACAGACTGTAATTGTCATTGCAGAGGCTCGAATACTCGACCCACGTTCTCAAAAGGAACTACACGTCGTCTTTATGCTAAGTGCATCTTGAAATTTCTTAATTTAAAGCCCCAGTTTCATATTAACAGCTTTCTTATTGGAAAACATTGACAAAAATTTAAATATTTCTTCTAGCCCCTCTGGTACTGATAACTATATTGTAGATAAGTTTTTTTGAAGAAACGATAAACGAAGAGTCTGAAGATTTTTCTTGAGTTCGTACTTTCCCAGCAGTCTTAGTTCCTAAAATCTTGGCCGTTTGCGAATTGCGAAGGTGCTTATTTGAAATGATAAATGGGTGCTTTGTTTTCTATTTTCTTTAAATAGAATGTTAAATCGGTGACCTGACTTGAATCAGGCTAGCAAATGAAGCCTTATAGGTGCAATTACGGTCCATTTTTTTAAAAGCCAGAGGTTATGCGCTTCAGCTAACAATTTGTTCACAAAATTTTTAAAGATTTTTTGTCAATAATGAAAATATCAAAAGAATGAAACGTGGTGTCTATACAGAATAATGATATATGAACAAACAATATTACTGCTATAACAGGGGAAACCTTGAATGTTCCGACTGCCCGTTCACTGGTCTCGAATAAAACTTGGTTAAGAAATTTGAAGGGTTATAATGTTTTTAGGCCATCAATGTCCTATTTTATGTAACTAAGTTGAATCCTGAAGGGAAAAACATGACCAATTAGCTTGCCGGTGGCAAAATAACGAATAAAATTGTTTCAACTAGTGCAATAATCCAACAATATAGAAAACTTATCATTGAAAGAGCATCAACTTGAGCCAGCGCAGAAGTAATTCAACCTGTAGTTCAAGCTGAGAACTTTCCATTAAGAATATCTTATATGAACCTAAATGTTTAATCTAAGAAACATTTATCCAGAAAAAAAGATAAATTTTTTAAGAAAAAAAAACGGAATTCGAAATCGTACAGTTCACTCATCTTGCATCTTATTAATATAGTTTTTTTAGAAATAGATACGAGCAAAGAAAACTAGCAAAAAAAAACAGTCTTCAGGCTTGAAAATTATATTTATATTTCTTTGCTTTATTTCAATTAAAGCGATGTTTTTTTTGGGTGTACGCTTTATGGTTCAAAATTTTTCTACAACTATCTCAAACTTTTTTTACCAAAACAATTTGTTGAAGTAGTCGCAAGCAATGAAATAAGTATTAATAAATACTATAGACTGTTTCAAAAGTATCTCTGTTGTCTATGGATTGTTTAGGCTCAATTACAATTTCTTTAAATGAATATTTTGCTCGGGTGGTTTTTTGATTTTCAATCATCTATTGTTGACGGATTTGTTTTTCTATATTTTTAGAGACAATATGATTTTGTACTTTATATAACGTGAGTTGAGAATAATTTCGAAATGGTTTATAAGGTGTAATTTTTGTGCTCGAAATTATCTTACGAAAAAATGGCTTTCAGAACATTCAGGGCTTCAAGTTGATACAAAAAGCCTGGTTTTTTTGTATAACTTTTTTTCTAAGAAAACAAATATTATGTTATGAGAATGTAGCTCTAAAATCATTTGAAAAACTTTATAGAAAGCATAGAACGCACTCCTTGAAAAAATGTACTCTTGTGGTTTTTCTTCTTTAGGAAAATGTTATCTTTTGCTCTGCCATTTGTGACAGAACTTTTTTCAACAGCATGAAAAATTTTAATTTTCTGTGCTCAATATTTAATTATTTCACATGCTCGATCAAAAAGTCAACTTGGGCAGTTTAGGATAATTGTTGAGCAAAATTTGATCCAAATAGAACTCAAGCAAGCTAACTGATCAAAATATCAAATAATTAAGTGAAAAATTTATCTTTAATTTTTGAGCTGGATGCGTGTGGGAAAAATTGATTTTCCTTAAAACTTGATCTTTTTAAACTTTTTTGTCATTTTTGTCACAAAAATTACCGTAGATGCATCAACAGACAGTCGAAACACTTATTGCTTTTTCATGATACAAAAAGTTCATATTAAAGAAAAAACAGAAAAACGTTCGCTCAAAACATTGATTTCGAAACTAAAATTATTTGTTGTTCTGACTTGCAAAGACAGTGACCGAGTATTTGTGCTCGAGTTTTTTTTTCTCCAGCTAGCAATTAATGATGGTTTTTAATATGAATGCTCAAGTTGAATTAAAAAACTATATCTTAATCAGAAGTCAATTTATTTCAGAGAAGACAGAAAACTCAAATGAGTCAAATTGAAACAACATACAAGACTGCTCGTATCAGTGCGACGCCCTCAATGTTCCGACTGCCTCTTAAGGTTTTATGGAGCAGTAATGACATAAAAAAAATGAATGTAATAAAATAGAAAGAAAAAAACTTTTTTCTAAAAATTGAACCTTTTTATGAAAATTATCCCCCCAGACGCCATATAAAGTACAAAAGGATAGATTTTGCTCATTGTAACAAATCAATCATGGCAAATGAGCTTCTCTCAACCAACTTGGAACGATTTTAAGACGCTTTAATTCTCCGCTTACACGTTAATAGCGCGAAATTTATTGCGCGTTAATTGTCCCAAATTGGCCGAAATGGCAATCTTTAAACCCCCGTAACTCTACGAAAAATGATCACAGGTGAAATATTTTTTCAAATTTGAGCTCAAGACAACAATAGCTTTCGATTGATTCCGTCAAAAATGGCTATTTAAAAAGTCGAAATTTGTCTGAAGAAAAAAAAACACACCCCGAGCACAAATATTCCGTTACTTTCGTATCGAAAGTCGGAACAATAAAAAGTATATTTCAAAATTTCATAACTTTGACAACAATTGACCAGCAGATTATAAAAAGTACTCGAGTATATAATTGAGGGACGCTATTTGGTCACAATTCAATAGTTTGCTATTTACAAAATATATCATTTTGTTTTTCTTTTGATGCGAACACTGCTCCATTGACTCTAAAAGCAGTTGGAAAGTTCAGGGCTTCACCCTGATACGAGCAGTCTTGTTGTAATTTTTTATTTCCTATTTGACCATGCATAAAATGCTGCATTAAATGGAGTTCAATTTAGTACAAAATATATTGGAAAAGCTAGGAAAAACTGGGAAAAATCTTAATGACAACTTAGACATTAAAAGCTTTTTAGAATGCGTTGGACGGAGAATACCTGCCTTTAAACCAGGAAAATAGTTACTGACAATTAATATGTTAAATTCTTTTTTATAAAACCTTGGAGTCAGAAAATTGTCTTATTTTGTCTTTCAACAGACTAACGTTTCAACAGAATAATGCGCCATATTGGGAAAAAGCGATTCAAAACCAAGCCCTCCATTGCATCTGTTCGAATAGAGTTTTCTAATTAGTTAGCTGCCTTTTATTTGAGTTATCTAAAGTAAAACAGGAAAATTGAAAAAATCAAGTACAGATAAGGGTAGCAGACAAAGGAGTCAGATGATTTTCTTGTGTTCAGGGGAATTAGACTCTTCATAATACCAAAATTGATTGAGCCTACTAAAATCTGTTGTTTGGGTCAAAAATGTTTACGAGATCGAGTTCGGCAAGCCCCACACCATTCAAACAAACTCCAAGTATGTCCCCGGTGCTGGGTTAAACTTAGCTGAATGTATTTGGCACTGTTCAGCATTTTTATATTCAGGTTCCGAAAAACCATCGAAGAAAAAAGTAAATTTATCATTTGTTTTTGAAAACCCTCTTGAGAAAATCCTGGATAAGTTTTGGCAGAAATTCGATACCCAGAAGCTTGAGAGTGTTGAATTTCAATAAAAAAGGTCAAATGCTTCTCGAAATTCAAAAGCTAATGTGTCATAGCTTAAAACCTCTTGCAAAATTTTGAGATAGTTTGAACTCTTCCAAAAAGACTAAATTATTGATATTCAAACCCATTAGCTTTTCTGAAAAAGATTCTGAAAAAGGTTCTGAAAAAGATTTGGATGATGGTTCTATTTGGTATGTTCTGCAAACTCTAATTTTATGCCAAACTGCATTAAGACGAGTCTCATCATTTATGCAATGGTTTCAAAAGAAGCATCAATCAAGAAAGTTGTCACATACGAAGTTAACACTTCGGTCAACGAAATCTTATGCTTCACTCAAAAACTAAATTAAACCCTAACAATTTGATCTAAAAAGGCCATAGCAATGTAATTGTCGTTTCATTTGGAACAACTAATATTTTGAAACTATTATTTTTTGCTGAATTTTAGTAAGTAGGAATGCAAATGACACACGATTCGAAATCAATGTTTTTTGAATTGCTTCTATTTCTATTTTCGCATTATTTTTCCGAAAAAAAAATCTAATTTACATTTTTTGCAAACT